TAGGGGTGTAATGGTACACTAAAATCACATTTCGGTCCGGTTCAGTTTCAAGGAGGGCTTGGTTCGGTTAATTTTCGATACAAAAAAGGCCAAAATAAAGACTTGCCAAACGTTTATTTTGACAATACGCCAAGTAAAAAAATACGGTTGTATAAAAATAAAAAATAAAAATTCCCTTAAGAGGAAGAAGACTCAGCTATCTCGGTGACATCCGCAAATCACACATCTTCAAACACAAAGAGGTTAAAAAATTGAGTTAATAAGATTATAATTTTTAATTAAAAAAGTTAATTAGATCACAATAATACAATAACAATCCTCTTCTTGCACGGCCATCATTTCTCTTATGAGGTGGTTGAATCTCTCACTCATGATCATCAGGGCAGGGCTTTAAACTTTAGACTGAGGAATGAGTGAGAAAATTACAAGAACAGAGACAGAGCACAAGAATGACAAAACACAAGAAACAGAAAAGTTGACGACATGGAAACACAAAGAAAACAAAGAAGGAAACAGACCATCGTGTCAAATTTGGACGTAGATCCATAGCTATAAAAACTCCCACAGCTTGTGTTATTGCTTTGGACCCATCTGAATTACACGATAAAGCTGCTGTTATCAGTCTTTTCACCAAGCTGCTTTTCTTGCTTGTAGAAGTGACGTTCGCATTCAGATGATGTCGGTTCAAGCGTGTTAACCAGTTAATACGTGTTGCCGGCTGCAGATCCAATCTCCGTGAAACAACATGGACACAGCCTTGGATTTGCACTTGTCTTTTAACAACAAAGCCTTAATGTTCCCAAACAGGAGACTGCAACAAGATGAAAGGGTCTGACCCACCACTGCTCCCTGTATTCACTGGTTAACTGGACATCATTAACCTCACGCAGACTCTCACTGGTACATTTTCATCTTTAAATCACTTCTTGGTCTGCTGCCTTCATACATCTCCTCCTACATGTCACTGCGAGAGTGCAGCTACAGAGTGCGCTCTCAGGACATTATTACCTGCAGTGTTCCCTCAGTGAAGACTGAACTAGGCCAAAGGGCCTTCTCTTACTCCGCTCCTGTTTCCTGGAATATCTTACAAAAAGATCTGAAGCTCTCGACCTTGACCTCTCTAAGTGGCTTCAAACATCTGTTTAGTTCCTGGCAAAAAACCAATGCAGACATGTTCCTGTTTTTAGTTTTCTACATCGCCTTATAATCAAGCAGTTTTTTTTCGCTACCTTTCCTCTTGATTGCCTTTTTGGTTGCTATTTTGTTTTGATTTGTTAAAAGAAAAGAAAATAATAAATTTAGCCTCTTTTAGGATTGTCTGTTGTTATTCATCGTTGTCATCACTGTATGTTAAGAAATCAGGTCTCTCTTGTAAATGGGTCCCCGAGGCTCAATGGGATTAACCTGTCTAAATAAAGGTTGAATGAATGAAAACCCACACCTGCATCCACCCTCCTGGGCCCTTGAGCAAGGCTCTTAACCCCCACCATCTGCTCCCTTAACAGGTCTCTCATGAAAATGCTCGTGAATCAATGAGACTAGCTGTATAAATAAAGGATAAATAAAAAAAATATATATATGAATACACACCCTCATTGTCAATTTGAGTAAATTAAATGCCTTTTTGGGATCTTAAATCTTAAATTAGCAATGGCACCCATCTTGAGATGGGTTGACTAAATGTCATTGTTAACATACACACACAGGCAATGAGTGTTGCCTACTTAAAAAATGTTTTGAAAATAAATTATAAAAGCCATTTGTTAAATTTTCTCCAAAAAGTCTACACAAGCACTCTATTTCCAAACTGCATTCTAGTATAATGTCAAAGTAAACTTAACAGACGTAAGGAAAAATAATTGTATATTGTGTGGAGCAGCAGAGTTGATCGTGTCTTACACCCACGAAACACTTTACAACTGTTCAAATCTTCTCTCAACACCAAACAGCTTATTCTTCTATTGACTTTTATTTATTTTTTGTTTTCCGCTTAAGTGACAACTTAATTTAAGAGCTGCCTCAGTAGCATAGGGAAGAACCATACACAGCCACAACCTGGACCTCCTCCTTATGCTGCTCATCTCTTGGTCACACTGCTGTGCGATGCCTTCCCATGTTTCAACCAGAATTTATCACAAGTCAGTCATTGGGGTTGTGTTGTTCACTCTGGAACAAACACGCTCAAGCTGCTCCCACATGTGATTAATGGGGTCTCTGAACACCCCCGCTCTGTGGGGGCAAGCATGGCCACCTTGAAAGATAGAGTTCAGTTCCAGAATGTAGAGATTTGGAATTGATCATGGGTGCTGACATTCAGGAACCAGGCACCTAACTGTCAGCATCTGGGGTACCAGAAGCTCAAAACAAGAGTCAGTAGTAGAATAAGTTGTTTGGTATTAGCAGAGGAGATTATGCAAGTTCATGAGTGCAACCTACCTTCTAACAAATGTGACAACCTCTAAGGTTATTGCTACTAATTTATTGCTTTTTGTAGTGCTTGTGCATTAGTGATGTCAAACAAACACAAATTCACAATTTACAGTGGTGCTTGTAGGTTTGCGAACCCTTTAGAATTTTCTATATTTCTGCGTAGATATGACATCATCAGATTTTCACACAAGTCCTCAACGTAGATAAAGAGAATCCAGGTAAACAAATGAGACAAAAATATTAGACTTGGTCATTTATTTATTGAGGAAAATGATCCAATATTATATATTTGTCAGAGGCAAAAGCATGCGAACCTAAAATTTGAAGGTGAAATTAAAAGTCAGGTGTTTTCAATCAACGGGACGATGATCAGGTGTGAGTGGACACTGTTTGATTTAAAGAACAGGGATCCATCAACGTCTGCTCTTCACAACATGTTTGTGGAAGAGTATCATGGCACGAACAAAGGAGATTTTGCTAACAACTTTTGCTACTCACAAATATGTATTATTGGATCATTTTCCTCAATAAATAAATAACAAAGTATAATATTTTTGTCTCATTTGTTTAACTGGCTTCTCTTTATCTACGTTGAGGACTTGTGTGAAAATCTGATGATGTTTTAGGTCACATTTATGCAGATAAACAGCAAATTCTAAAGGATTCACAAACTTTTCAAGCAGCTGGTGTAGATTCTCAGTCATCCAGGCCATGGTAAATACAAAAAAGGTTTAAAGACAAAAACAACTGGCCTTCTGTTATGTAGCTGAAGACGTTTCACTTCTCAGAGTTATTACCAAGGTGTTACCTCAGCGTTATAACTCAAACTCTCTGTCCTTTGAATTTAGACAGTTCCTCGGATAAGAAGCGAAACGTCTTCAGCTACCGAATAAATAGTTTTTATTTATTTATTTTTTTACTTTCACCTTTTAAACTTTCATGCACCACTGTATAGTCAACAACCTGTTTATTGATTCGTCTCAATCTCTTATTTCACACTTGTGGTACCATTAAGCTTTTGCTTTCTCATTTTCCCACTCCATTTCATATTCCTGTCAACACGATATACATATTGTATAGTTTTGACATTATCGTGCAACCAACATTTTTCTTTTGAGTCACGTGGACACTAAGATATCATCAGGAAGGAAAACGTTGGTTACGTACTGTAACCCCAGATTCTATGAATATAAGCGTAGCCCTTTAAGGCCTTCGCTTTAGTGGGTTTATCCCGTTATGCAGAGCATAAGCACTGAAAAAAATTAGTCCACGCCCACCTGCTGTGTGGGCCCTACCCGGTCCGTATAAATTACGTTAAGAGCGGGAAATCGGCTCCCAAAATAGCTTTTTTCTTCAGCCATTTAGGAGCCAGTGAGGCCCGACGCTTAAAGGGCTACGCTTATATTCATAGAATCTGGGGTTACAGTACGTAACCAACGTTCTATGTCATATAAGCTTCGCCCTTTAAGGCCTTCGCTTTAGTGGGTAAAGGGCGAAGCCGATGTGGTCCTCGCCTCACTGGGTCCATTCGAACACAGTAAGAAGCGGAAGCTTGCCCAAAAAACGTCTTGTCACTCAGCTCCCCATGTGCATAACTACGCATCGCGTAATTATGTGCCATGCACAGACGCATGTTGTGTAGCTATGCGTTCTGACAAAGCATGAATACCCCGGAAAACTTTCAACGGGAAGAAGAAGTTGAAAAGAGGGGGGGGGGGGGG